CCACAAGGGGATAGGGATGTCATGGGGACACTCAGGGACACTTGTGTGGTGGCATTTTGCCCCTTCCTGAGCCACGGCTGAGGATGTGTTCCCCACGAGGATGGGGACTGGCAGAGGCTTTCCCAGACCTCAGGTCTGCAGCTAGAGACCTGAGGAGCTCATTGCACCCCACGGGGGCTCGGCACCAACCCCGCTCTGTGCTGTATCCACACTGCTCCGGGCCCTGTCCCTTGTGTGTCCTCACAAGGCTGACGGCCAACTGCTGCCGGTGGAAGTCGGGGGGTCCCAGAGTGTTCAGCCCAGCTCTGGGGGGATGGGAGCCAGTGATTGCCCTGGCTCTGGGCCAAAAGCCCCCAAATCTCTCAATGTCTGGGAAGGGCACCTGTGGCATCTCTGAAAGCAGCTGCTGAGCACCACGTTTGCCAAAACACAGGTAAGCCAGTCTGAGGACTTCAGAGCAGGTCTGCCCCGCCATGCTGCTCCTCAGCCTTGGCAACGGTGCAGCCTTCTGTCTTGTGCAGAAACAGTGAGACACGAGGGGGATACTGGGAAACACCTAAGCTGTCCCCATTGCAATGCCACCTCCAGGAGGGGCGTGAAGGAACAGGCTAGGAGAGAAGTGGAGCTGTGAGATGGGCATGGGGACTCCAAACAGACTTTGGAGCTCCTCTGACTCCATGCTGATGACGGAGCAAGGTGCTGAACCATAAGGAATGGAGGGACATCGGTTCCCAGAGAGGTGAGGACCACGCAGGAGCTGATGTCCCTCTGGTGGTTTACCTGGCTACAGCTCAGGGATGGGACTTCTGTCACCTGGAGAAGATGGTGGTCACAGCAAGGAAGGGCTGCCATCACCTCTGGCAATGGCTTCTGGCTCGGGCTGTGTGCTGGAAGCTGGAGAGGCTGGTGGTGCCCCGGGGAAGTATCGGAGCAGGACATGGGGTGAAGCTCCCCACTGCTGTTGAGCGTCATCGGGTAGAGACGCAAGGGCTCCCAGAAAAGGTCTGTGACGTGGGAGAGCTGCAAGGACACGCTGGTGACGCACGGGCCACTCGCAATCCCCCAGGAGCCCCAGGTCCCTCTCTGCAAGCTGCTGCCTGGCCAGCCGGCCCCGCTGATTCACGGGAAGCTTGTGCCTGCTCCGACTGCCGGGCATTGCATCACGCTGCCCCTGAGAACACGTCAAGTCCCAACGGTGCCCTGCTGCTGGCCACCGCTTTTGGACATGACTGATAAGGGACACGAGATGGTCACAGAAAAGGTCTTTGTCCTTAAAAACCGCAGCGCAGGCCCCTGGCAGGACGGGGGCTGACGGGGCAGATCAGGCCCTCCCCGGCGTGGCAGGGGCTGCTGGCTCTGCGCTGCCCTGGAAAGGCTCCCGGGGCACCCGCACTCTCGCCAGCTGCCACCGGGAAATAACCTTTCCCATTCACCTCGCTGAAGCAGATCAGGGTTGCAGGTTTACTTATATCTGTTTAACACCATCTAATTAAGCAAGAAAGCAGTGCCCTGGGCACAGAGGTGCTGTATCAGGAAGAGGAGAGATAAAGTGCAGTTTCAAACCAAAATGTTAAATAGTTAAGAAGTTCCAAATACCCTTCTGAACCCAGCCCCAAGAAGTCCCAGTCACACAACCCCACCGCCCCCAAGGACGGGTGGGCTGACAGCCCCCGCGCCCCTCCCGGAGGGCAGTTCCCTCCTGCACACCCCTGCCTTTGGATTCGGGGTGCTCTGGCCTCAGCCATGCCCCCTCCTGCTGCCCATCGACCGCTCGTGCAGGCACCAGGGGCAAAGTACCCCCCAAATTCACACCTGCACACCTCAGGTCTGGCTCCCTGCTTGGCTGTGAGCCACCAGGGCGTGCTCAGGGCAAAGACGGGCACCAGCCTCCCAGGAGGAGATGGAGGGAGGGGATCCTTCCCTCTGCTCAGCCCTGGTGGGACACATCCCAGTGCTGGGTCCAGCCTGGGCCCCCAGTACAAGACAGAAATGGGCAGACTGGAAACAGCCCAGTGAAGGGCATGAAGGTGATGGAAGGATTGAAGCATTTTCCATTGGAGGAGAGAGATGGTGTTTGAGCTGTTCAGCCGGGAGGAGGTTCAGGGAGATCTTCTCCCTGTGTATAAAGACCTGATGGGCAGTGCGCAGAAGACGGAGCCAGACTCTTCCTTGTGGTGCCCCGAGACAGGACAAGAGACCATGGGCACAAACTGAAATGCAGGAAATCCCACCTGAACATAAGAAAAAGCTTTCCTTTCTCTTACAGCGAGGGTGGTCAAAAACACTTTCCCCAGCTGCCCAGAGAGGTGGTGGAGTCTCCATCCTCGGAGATATCCAAAACCCAACAGGACAGGGTCCTGGCCCTGGCCCTGCTGAGCAGGGGTTGCACTAGACCATCTCAGAGGTGCCTTCCAGCCTCCCCAAGGCCGACCCTGGCTCCGTCCCGGCCTGGTGCCCCCCGTGCTCTCAGCCCAGGAGCTGCTGTGGGCTGCTCAGGGCGGCTGTTGGGGAGGGTTCTTGGCCAGGCCTGGGCTGTGATGCCGGCAGGGCTGCTCTCGGCAGTGTCCAGCAGGCTTTGGCTCCTGCTGTGGCCCCTCCAAGGCCTCTCCCTCATGCTGGGATGCTGATGAATCCTTTCAGACTGACACCTTCTTGATTTGCAAAGTCTCTTTTGTAATTCCCTGGTTACTATTTAATCCAGCTGAGGGTCCTCTCTCTCCTTAACATACCCAGGTTTTGGATAAATTCAGACAAGTATCAGCTGTTCCTTATCACCTCCTTTTAGCAGATGGTGTTATCAAGGCCATTAGCTGAGGGTGGGCTGTGTGAGCCGCCCACACGAGCCCTGCAGGAGGCAGGTGGCTGGGCAGGGCCCATGTGGGATTCTTGTGACAAACCCAGCGCTGTTATTCCTCTGTCCTCAATACATCTCCAATCAATACACTCTTCACTGCAGGGTAGAGATCTCAGACCATGAACCCCAAATATCTCTTGGGGGCTCCCTGTTGCTGTTTTGAGGGTCCTGCAGCACATGTGGAGTTTTCCTGTGGTGCTGCCTGCAGCCTGCCCACACCAGGTAGGAGAAATCTAAAACTCAATTGGACATAGTCCCTGAGCAACCAGGTGTTGCTGACCCTGCTTAAGCAGAGCTATAATTAATTCCCTGGTCACTATTTAATCCATCTGATGGTCACCTTCCTCTTTAGTATAACCAGCTTTGTGCAGGGACATCTCCCAGTACCTCAGGGGTAATCAAAGCCCCGTCCAACCTGACCTTGAACACTTCCAGGGATCCACTTCTCTTGCACAATGTGTTCCAGCATCTTACCACCCTCACCGGAGAGAACTTATGTCAGCAGCAAAAGCCAGTCCCCATTTTCTATCAAGAAAAATGTGTGTGTGTGCTGAATGCACGGCCCAGAGACACGGCACATTCAGGGGGACACTTGGTGCTGTCACCAGCGATCTAAGGAGCTCTGTAGCTCTGCTGAATGAGTCCCTGCTGACAAGGCAAGGAAGGGGACCCAACAGTCCCACACCTCAGCAGGGCAGCAGCACCCAGAGCACGGTGAGAGGCTTCCCCAGGGGAAGAGACGCTTGTGAAGGTGCTTTGAGACGTGGCACAGAGGGGAAAGTCTCCCCACAGTGCACATGGGGAATGCGGCGGCACAAGGGGAAGCCAGGGGAGATGCTGAAAACCAGTGTAGGAGATTGATAATTCAATAAAAAACATTCACAACTGGAAGCACTTTGAGCTCCAAAGGGGCTGAGCAGTGAAATTCAGGAGCTGTGGCTCCTCGAGCCTGTCTGTAACACGTTTGGGTTCAGTGTGTGGATTCGGTAGCCAACAACCAAGTCAGAAAGTAGAAAGGTTGGATCCTGATCCAAAGAAAAATCAACACAGTAATGCAAAATGGGAATTAATTAGGGAGAGCATCTATTTTCACCAGCAGGACAGAATTAATTTCACAGAAATACCTTGGCTACAGTCTACAGGGGCTGGTCCAGAGCATGCTCAAGGGTTAGGAAAAATGTCAATGGGAAATAAAAATGAGGAACTTACACTTCTCTGGGTTTTATAAAACATATGCTGTTTGAACAATCTTCCATTTTCACAATTTAAACAGAAAAAAAACTGAAAAATCAAAGTTGTTATCCTATTACAGATATCAACCACCTCTATACCGATATACCATAATGGAACAGAAGCTCAAATAATTAAACGCTAAATATTAATCATAGCTTTTATTACATGAAAGCGAGTAATGGTTCATTCCCCAAGCCATGGACGGTTGAACAGTTACAGCCAGCTTGCCGAAGCTCCCGGTACAGAATTAGTGCATCCAGCAATGTGTCACCCTGGAAGAAGTCCTCAGCGAACCGGGTGGAACTCCTCAAAAATCTCCCCTATTCTTTTCTTTTCTGCAAGAGGCAAGGGGTGGAGATGGGAAAACCTAATCAGCATTTGAGATCGATTCTGAAAATTTTTAATATTAAGGTCTTAAGGTTAACAAAGCCACCAAAAAGCTGATTTTTGCTACCAACAGTGAAGTATTAGCTTGCTGCATAAACTAAATATGTAACTTCTTTTCCACAGATCCCTGTGAGATCGCAGTATTAACACTTTTTTATTTCCACCTATTTCTTCTGACACGGCATCATGCAGATCACAATCCAACAGCCAGAGTCACATAACTGTACTGTACTAGAAATAGATCATTTTCACCAAAATTTGCCATTACATTGATGGGTTTAGTGACTACGTTTAGTAAAACACTGTTCTTCACCATGGCCCTAAGTCAACACCACTTCATGTTTCCTGCCATTTCTGTTTATTCCTTTTTCACCTGCTCTGTTTATTTTCTGTACATTCACCGTACCATATTTGAATCAACATACACTGCAACTTCAGAAGAATAAACAGTAAAACTGCAATTTTACAAGAATAAAACTTGTGATTTCTAATTTTCATTATTTCTTCTTCTTTCTGCCATTTGTGTAGTGGCACAAATGTGATCTACTCTTACTTTTTTTTTTTGTCTTTACCATTTTTTATATTAAAATAAGCTTTTAGGAGGAAAAGTTGGTCATCAAGGCAGCTGATCAGCTCAATAAAAATATCTATTTTCAAATCATAAAATCCTTAATACTGTTGCAATTGGGGTTGTGAATAAGCAGAAAAGTTAGCAGTATGACTTGCTCGAAAAGAACAGATTCTGCAGGCAGCCCAGCAACTTCTTTACATACATTAGCACTTATCTTGTACGTTAGAGCAGGCTGAAGTCTTTTTTAAAATATCAACTTATAATACCTGCTGTCTTAAAGTCTTCTGGGTGGTGCCTGACGTACTCAAGCAACTCTCTGTCCAGTTTGGCGTAGACATACTCCGTACGTTTAAGAAGGTAATAGCCAACGAACCATCCCACGGTAGTGAACAGGATCTGGCGGTGAACACCTGCAGCAGGAGGAGGAATGTCCCCCTGTCTCAGCCCATCTCCTGGCCTCAGGCGGGCTCCCCGCTTTCCCCAGCCCCCCCACTGTAGCCCCCCAC